CCCCCCCGATCCAGATTAGAAACCCGAGACTAACGTATCCCTTACCAGGTGCTTGGAGGTTTCTTAGACAATACTGAAAAAATTCTTGTCCTATAGTTTGGGTTAGTTTGGGGTTTTATTTGATATTTTTGTGAATACGCAGAGGTAATCTTATCTACAATTTTAGTCATACAATTAATGACCTAACATGTTGGGATATTTCACGTAGTACAGCTAAATTCCACACGGCAGATATAGCCCCCCCCCCCCTTTCCTCTTAAATAATCTAAAAATGTTGATAGGGGCGTTAAATCTTTACCATTTCATATGTTCACAGTAATGGCCTTCAGACACCGGGTCAACGACTTCTCCTAGTACTGGTCACATAATGTCAAATATTAGGGGAGAGAGCTGCTAGAATGTTAAAAATATAGTCTCCACTATGAAACGACAGGCAACAAAGTTTGAACCCACACCTCCCAGTAACCAGACTTACACTCAACCATTAGGGATAATTAATTTACTGACAAAGGGCCAGTCAAAGCACTGAACTTGTCGTTCTAAAGCATTTAGTTTTAACCAGTTAGCTTTCGTAAGGATATTGGTTTAAATACTAGGCCTATAACTCGCCGTCGTCCATGTAAATCTATACTTGTTAGGCCAATGAAAGCGAACAGCAGCATACAGCTGCACCTAACCGGCTACATGACGCCTCTTGTCATATCACGGCTGTGCGCGGAAGCGTCATGCTCGAACCGGCTTAGTGCAGAGAACCGGCCACTTACATTGTGTTGCACATTTTTTGTTATCCCATAACCGGCTACGTGCAAAATAAAACTATCGTTTGTGGTATTTAAGAAAAATCAAGTAGTATTTGGTCCCAAAACTTAAAACTTAACCTTTTGTGTTGAAAAATATGAAAGATTGCGTTGCGCGTTTTAACAATAATCAGTTTTTTTTGTCCTTCCTGTAAAATTTGCCTTTCTGCATGTAACCAGTTTGTGAATAACACCGACGACATATATATATATATATATATATATATATATATATATATATATATATATATATATATATATATATATATATATATATATATAATATATATATATATATTATATATATATATAATTATGTACACACACACACATAAAAGAAATGATATTTGAAAAAGAAGGCACTTGATCCCCGTTCTAAATGCGTACCGATCCAACCCACACACTTCCTTCTCCCAACCTACCCTCTTTATATTTTGCAATTATCTCAAGATTAAGTGGCTCATTTTTTATAAGTGTGCACTTGTAAATTGTCTCTTAGAATACGAAAGGCTATTTCTGCGTTGTCTGCAACAAGAAAATTGTCATCTTAGTTTTCAGTATCAAATTTCCCTTTATCTCCATCCCTTTTTCAATCTGTTTGCACAAAATAAATATCAGACCGAATAGAAGGGAATTGCACCCAACAATAAACATACAGTTTGATTAAAGATAGCATGGATTGGCAAGGGTTTCGCAGATGTTTGATACAAATGTAAACAACCGAACGATATCTAGAACCAACAAAACTGGCTCGCCGTAAACTAAGGGTTACTCGCCACTGCGGCTGTATATCTTGTGTAAGCAACTTAAATACATGTACATAGTCATGCAAAACGCTGAATCAACCTCAGACACAGCAGAACTCCTGGGAAAAAACAACAAAACATCCTAACTACATCCCCAGAAGAGTTGAGATAAACAATTACGAGGTAGATTTCTGAACCTCTAAATCTTTTTTCTCGAGCCTCATTCTCACGGGGAAAATAGAATGTCAGAAAAAAAGAAGAACACATACAGGTAGATCAAGAATAACTTATTTTCTGAACTCAAACGGATGGGCGAAGGGTGAAGACCAGGATTATCTCCCCCCCCCCCTCCATTCTTTGTCACAGAGCGCCCGAGCAGAGCACTGGCCGGCAAACCATGGTCGTTAATGTCTCTTTCAGATCGTATACTTGAAGAAGAAAAATACTGTTTTACTTACTTAAAAACGGAAGTCGTGAGCAGACACATTGTAGAGGGTTCCCATGAAGTGAGAGAGAAAGCCCGAAGGCCCTGGTTTGAGGATGCTCGTCTAAGGCTGTCATCTCCCCTCCTTTAAGTGTCGAGATGGCGTTATGACTCATATCCAGATAGGTCAACGCTGGGGTGTTCGACACGTCAAATCCTAACGATGTGAAACTGTTTTTTGACAACACCACATAGGCCATTTCCAGATTAGTAGAAAATGAAAGTCTTGGTAAATAGTGCAGACGGTTGTCGCTCAGCTCAATTTGTTGAAGTTTTGGGGTTGCATTTAGCCAACGTCTATCTAAGAAATGATAGATGACATCGGTTGTCTGAAGAGAATTTGCAATCAAGGTTTGTAAGTTTGGAAAACTTTGAAACACATTTTTCAGTCCAACGGCTTTTACTTTAGACCCCGTCACATCCACGAGAGCCACATTGTCGAGACCCGTTACAAAATCGTGCAGAATGAGTTCAGAGCAGCTGACATACCGCACCTCTCTCATATTTTGCCCATCGAGTATATGGCAGCCGTAAACTTCTGTAATACCACCTCCTGAGCCTATGGCTATGACTTTTTGTAGCGTTTTCGGAATTCTGAATTCCGCTGCACCCTTAGATTTCTCAGCAAGAGGGAAGCCGGACACAACGTTTGTCGAAGGTAAAGACTTGCGTTTGTGAACTTTCACTTTCTTATCAATCTTCTTGCAATCATTGGTGTTAGCAGCCGTGAAAACTCTTCCACTATTGCCAGATTCAGCATGCTCTAAATTTGCTCTATTTTCTCCTTCCATATTTTGATAATTATGTAACTTAAAGTGAACATCTGACCCACACCATCCAGATCCACTGAACTGAAACTCCTCTAGCCTTTTAAATTCCAATAAGCGGAGTATCATGTTCCCTTGAGTATAAAATCTATCCACGAGCTGTCTATTAAACTGCAGACTTCTCAGGCACCTCTTCATATTAATGAAGCCGTCAAACGAAGAGATATCTATACCAACTATCTGACAGTTATTCCATATCAGCTGTAAAAGACATATACTTGTGAGATACTTCATATTGTCTTTGGTTATTAGTCCGTCTTCAATCTGTTTCTTTGGCTGATCCCACGTTTCCATAAAACTTAAATTTTGAAGTTCAATCTCAGCCATCGCCTTGTTTTCGAAAGGCCATAAGGATCGTAAAATAATCTTGTTTGAAAGACTTAAGCCCCTCACCCTGAGGACTTGCAAAGTCTTCAAGTATCTAAATACACCAGTTTCAAATGTTACCTCTCCGCCTCTCTTTGGTGATTCCAAAACAAGCTCTCGTAACGACACATTCTGGAAACCTTTCAGGCTTTCGTTCGTCACAATAACCACATGACTGACTTCAATACAAATACATGTTAGTTTCTCTAGTCTCGAAAATTGCTGACCCATATATAAAGATGAATTGCCATCCAAGGACAGAGTCTTTAAATTCTTTAGATCAGAAAACGTATTTGCGAATTCCTTGAAAGTGGGGTCTCCAATTATGTTTCTTTTTAGGTACAATTTCATAAGCTTCGGTACATGGGAGAAAACACGAGGTGGAATTTTAGAAAGGAAAATGTAGTTGTGTTCGAGATTCAGTTCTTCCAGTTGTCCAAGTCCCATCAAGGCATTTTCCTGCGAAAAAAAAAGTCTCAAAGTTAGAGAGAAAACACTTATATTTTTCAAACAAATACAATCACCCCCTCACCCCCCCCCCCAAAAAAAAAAGAAAAGAAACAACAACAATAAAATACAACCAACCAACCAAACAAACAAAACAAATTCGAAATAAAAAATCATACACACACGAACGAACAAACACACACACACACACACACACACACACACACACACACACACACACACACACACACACACACACACACACACACACACACACACACACACACACTCACAAACACACACATACACACACACACACTATATATATATATATTATATATATATATATATATATATATATATATATATATATATATATATATATATATATCTATTATCTATTCGTGGAGACCGAATTTTGCTATTCAAAAGGCTTTCTAATGGCTGCATCGATCCACATGCGGTTTTCGCCAAAAGATTCTTTAAAATATTCTCCAGATCATGACGCCTTCGTTTTTTTTCAGTTTTGAAACAGTTTTGCTGCAGAAAGCTAAATTTCTTTATTTCGCCGATCGCTTTTGTAGGCCGACGCTTCTGTCTCTGTAATTTTAGAAAATCCGCCAGGTGTGTTTATTCAAAGATAGTACATAACAAGATGGTTCACTCAGCCAAAAAAGTGTCCGCCGGATGTTCGCTCTTTGCTTCAAATGGCGCTGCAGTCTGTTTTGGAGCTCTCTTTTGTTTTTCCAGAAGAAAAATAGAAATAGCACCTCCTTGTGTGCGCAGATCGACTGCTGTTCATCAGCTGTTCGGGTTCGTTCAGTGTGGAGTTTTAGGTTTTTAAAAATTTTAATGACCTCTCGCCTTTCATTCTAAAGTCAAATTAAACGAAGAAAACAATCACCCATTTCCCCCGGAAGAGGTTTTTTGTCAGCGTAACCATTTTAAAAAAGCGTTCTTCCGAAATTTATTCAAAAACTTGCTAGTTTCACTTTGATTTTTTAAACTCAAGTAGGGTAACTCTGTTCGCAAAGGGTGCGCATTTGCGAAGAGGGCGCCACCGAATTTTGAGGACACTTTTTTAATTGGCTCAAAGAGAGAAGTGGCCCCTCTTGTTATGTAGACTCTTTGGTTTATTTCAAGTCGTACTTCCTTTCGATACTATCGCGTATTGTCGTGTAATACTGAGCACTATTTTAAGTGTGCAACCCGTACAGATCAGGCCTCATGTTTTCTTTTTTTTTTACTTGGTGCTAAATTCGACTCTGATCCTTTCGTTCGATGTCCATCATCACTTTTTTATTGCTCCATTCCAGCAGAGTGTAAATTAATACAGTAGGGCAAAAACGTTTAATTGATGTTAATGCACCGATCATTCTTTTCATCGAAAGGGGGACCAGCTAGTATATATAAAAAATATATACATATATAATATATATATATATATATATAAATAAATAAATAAATATATATATATATATATATATATATATACAGTCGAACCTGCCCTGACGGCCACCTCTATAAGACGGCCACCTGTACAAACGGACACTTTCCATTTTCCCCCTTGCGTTTTTTCTATATAATTTAACTGTGTAAAACGGACACCTGTCCAACGCGGCTGCGGCCACCATATTTCAACACAAAACCCCTATCACACAAAGCAATAACACCTGTCTTAGACGGCCACCTTAGTGACTCCATTACGCTTTGTCTTAAATCAAGCATTGGCATCTGGCGTTGTGGGCGAGCCGTCATTATCTAAAAACCTGTCGTTGATAGGTAGTCTCTCCAACTGATCATGTTGCGTAGGCCCCTCCCACTGTTGACCAATAGGTAACAAAATTAATTTTCAGCTGCTGGGGAGGGAACCATGTGATCCCTCATAACCCATAAGCCCCGCCCACAACCTATACACAAATCGCAAGTGAGATGAGTGGTCACTGTTCACCCAGTCTGTAACAAAGTAACAATGGACGTCAGCATGAACTTGTGACAGAAGCGTCGCTTGTTCTCCGAGTGGTAGTACGTGTGTTTGTTTTACCATAGCACTCGGTCCCCCTTGTCTGACACATTTCGTTTTATTGTCACCCGTGCACAAAAGCAGCAACGAAAGAAAAGAAAACCCAGCGAAAACAACAACAACAATGCAACTACCTTCGGTTGGGACCTCAGAAAGGGAGGGTTTGTTTTCTCAGAAAGGAATGGTTTGTTTTCTTCATCTTGATCAGTCCTGCCTAAGACGGCCACCTGTCTTATACGGCCATTTTTCTCCTTGACAATGGGTGGCCATCTTACACAGGTTCGACTGTATATATATATATATATATATATATATATATATATATATATATATATATATATATATATATATATATATATATATTTCCACTCATTTCTTTACTTATAGAGAAGTTCTTGAGACAGGGTTGTATTCTCCCTATACCCCTGCTCCATGCAACAATACAGACAGTACAACCCTCTCATTAACTTTCCCTCTGTTGTCTTAGTCTGTTTCTCTGCCAAAGTATGTTCATTTTTGTGTACATGTGCTACTCTTTAGTAAAAAAATCCAACAACAATAAAAAAAACACCAAACGAACAAAACAAAACAAAAGCAAAAACCCCAGCTCACAGACTGTGAAATTATAGATTAACCCATTTCTTTCTTCTCGTTATCAACAAATAACGTCGTTTATCTCTAGCCTCCTATCTGTTCAATTCTCGAAAAAGCACTTCTTTGTGAAAATGCACTATATAAATGCAATTTATTATTATCAATTTATTATTAATGAATCTTGTTATTGCCCTTTCTCAATTACAAAATTAGTCAGTAAATAGTAATTTATATTATAACATCATTTATATAGCACACAGCTTTTCTATACAGCCGCTTTATGCACTCTGCAACTTACTACCCCCAGTGGACCTAGGGATACTCAGAAACATTCTCGGCTTCCCAGGAAGAACACAGTGCAAGCTGCAGATTTCACGCACGAAAACACTAAGTGTGAGGTCAAATCAAATTACAAGCGAGAGCTGAAGCTGGCATGAAACTAGAGATGAGAGATAAACTTGGGGGTGACCATACTATGAATTGCTTTTCTCAAACGGGAAATAAGCGACAAGCGAGCGAGAAACAGCTGAGGTGAAAGAATACAAACTGACAAGATCATACGCTGTCTATCGCTGGGTACCCCTTTTCACGGGGGCGGAGTGAGGAAAATTCCTTTCCCAATTGCCAACGCAATGTCGGGCCCCTGACGGGATTCAAAAACATAACCTTGCGGTCACGAGTCCTAAAGCCTAACCAGTAGGTCAATGAAAAGTAAAGGTACAGTATGACCTCCAGTGCCTTCACGCATCACGACTATCACAGCACACTGTTTCCTTATTCCTGTAAGACCAATTGTAATCACCATGTTGACACCTAGGCCAGGCATGGGGGAAACTGAAAGCGGTGGGGTAGGTATACTTTATTTTCACAAAAATATTTGTAAATTCAAGTCAGTTAAAAAAATAAATCGGGGCTCTCGTGATCTAGAGGTTAAGGTGTTGGCCTTTAATTCAAAGGTCCCTGGTTCGAATCCGGGTAGCGACCGAAACAATTTCTTCTCTAAAATTGTCTCCTTTCCCCTCCTTTCCTGCTCTCTAGCAATGTCCTGTCGTTTGCTTTCGTCTCCTCTTTCTGCCCCCACCGCACCCCCTCACCTCCTTGCCCCACTCCTCTGGCCCCTTGACTCTTTCTGCAACCTTTTTTTCTGCTACTGCTTGGCTCCTTCTTACTGCTGTCTTTCAGCCACACCTCTGATCTTCTGGTAGGAAAGATCTACACCTAGCCTTCTCGGACAAGGGCGAAAAATTTCGGAGGGCCCGAGTGCAAGTTGCGCACGTTAAAGATCCCTTGGTGGTCTAAAATCGATAAGAGTAGGTTTCGGCCGCCATCCGGGAAAAATTCAAAATTTCCTACCAACTGAGAAAGTTTAATGAGCGCCGCGCGTTCATATGACCTTTTGCACTTGCGAGAGCCGTAAAACCCTTAGCAAATAAA